CGCAATTTTTTTGACAGCCAACGCCAGTGTGTTCGCTTTGCGTAATTATACATGGTTGCATTAGTTATATTAGGGTTACACGGAATATAAGCAAACGTCAAGCTGTGAAGTTCTACTTATATTGTGCTCTGATTTGTCTTTGTATTTTGCAAAGTTTATTGTGCTAATTCTGAGTAAAAGTTGCTATAAAAAGTGCCTACGAGCATCTTAGTGTGATAATAATCGAACCCAAGTGAAAGTTTTGTGATTTTTGTGGTTTATATTAAATTTAATTAAATTTCACTAGCATACATCTAATCTTGCCGAGTCATTTGTTGTTATCATTGTTGTTGTTATTCCTTTGTAGTTAACTAAGATCGTTTCTATTTTTGCACATTTCTTTTTTGTTTACTTCGTTTAGTATTTCTTGTCACAGCTGTTTACGCTGCGTTTATTAAGTGTCACAATACAGTGATACTCAAACTGTTCGCTACATATATTTTTAAGCTAAATACATCAGCTCCTAAATTGTTGTGTGTGTTGTGTTAAACTTATTTTGCTTGTCTTTTTATTAACATAAGTGTTATTAAATCTTTCAATATGAAGTGTGATCTTGATAACTGCCAAATTAAAAGCGAATCTGAACGCTACTTATCGTGCTGGCTCTGTGATGGTATTTGCCATCTAAAATGTGCTGGTTTGACAGGAAGAATTCTGGACGCTATTAATGATGGCAAAGGTCTTCGCTGGTCTTGCTTAAAGTGCAGGTCAACCGAAGTTGACCTCTTTAAGTTGTTTAGGCAAACCAGAAATGGGTTTTCTGAGGTAGGGAGAGAGTTGTCGGTACTGACCGAAAAATTTAAACATTATGAAAATGTATTTAAATCTTTTAAATGCTTAGATACCGTACAATCTATGAAGGACATTCATGTGTCAAAACGAAAGCGTCTTCATAGTCCGCCTAATGAAAGGACCGTTCCACGTCAGAACAATCTTCCGAATGACTTAATTAATCTTTCTTCTCCATGTCCACAGACAACGGAGTTATCTTCCTCAAAAGAACATATATCAAAGTCTCCTTCTAATAATAACGATATAATAATAATCTTCCAACGCTTACTCTACCCTCACTTAGTAACTCAGTTACTCAACCCCGTCCGCCGGTAATCGAGTCTAATACTAGGAGATTGGTTGTGGTTCCCCCAAAGAAGTCTATATTTGTATCTAGATTTTCGAGGGATACTTCCGAGGACGATATAAAGTTTTACATCTCGTCCAAAGTTAAAACTGTCAACTTAAGTATCAGAAAATTTAATTTTAAATATGAAAGAAATATTTCTTCATTTAAAATAGACGTATATTTAGAAAATTTTGACATGTTGCTTAGTAGTTCTTTTTGACCCTCCGGAGCTTTCGTTCGTGAATTTAAGTATAGGCCCAACAAAAATAATAATTTAGCAAATATTCCCCGTCAGAATACAGAACCAAAAAACTGATTACTAAATCTGCTTTAAGTATTTATTATCAAAATGTAAGAGGCATAAATACTAAATTAACGAATTTATATCTTAATATCCTTTAATGCAATTATAATATAATTTCTTTGACTGAAACTTGGCTCAAACCTCACACTTTTAATTCAGAGATTCTTTCAAATAATTATCATATCTACAGAAAAGATCGGGAGGACAGAGTCGGCGGTGGCGTACTCTTTGCCGTAAACTCTTCATTACCATCTGAAGAAGTTAGTCTTCCACACATTGAATCTGCAGAATTCAAATGCATTCGTGTTCAGGTTGGAAGGAGGTTTACTTACTTCGCTCTATGCTATATTCCTCCCCGATCTGACTTATCAGTGTATTCACAACATGTATCTTTACTGAAACCAATTAATTCAATGATTAATCCCTCTGATTCATTGATTGTGTTGGGTGACTTTAATTTACCAAATGTATCATGGAACATCATTGACAATGATATTGTACCTTTCTCGTCTGGCGCGTGCAACAACGTATTTTTAGAGGAGATGGCTGAACTCTGCCTGAATCAAGTTAATGTACTTCGCAATAAGTTTGGCAAAGTATTAGATCTTGTTTATGTGGATGATGCATCTAAGTCGGCTGTAAATAAATGTGACCCACTAGTTTTGCCCGAAGATGTCTACCACCCTGCTATTGAGATATCTTACGAAATTATAAACGATGGTCAAAATTGCGATGTCCAAACATACGAACCAAATATTCGCTTTGATTTTTCGAAAGCCAACTTTAAAAAACTGAATAAAGAATTGTCTAAATTGTCGTGGCCTATATACAAAGAAAAAGTTGAGCAAAGCGTTGCACATTTTAATTGTACTGTACATAGATTATTTGAAAAGTATGTGCCTAAACGCATGTGTGTTCCTGAAGAACAAACACAGTTATGGTTCACTAAAGAACTGAGAAACTTGAAAAACAGAAAGTCACGTTATTTTAGATTACACAAAAAAACCGGCTTACACTCATACTATGTAAAATACTCACTTTTGCGTCACAAGTTCTTTGAATTAAACAAAAAGTGTTATAAAGATTACTTGTGTAAAATCAAACGACGTATAATATATAACCCCAAATCATTTTATGATTTCTTGAACTCCAAGCGAAATGTACGTGGGTTTCCTTCCGCCATGTATCAAAATACCGTCTCAAACAATTTCTAACATGTTCGCTCAGTTTTTTAAATCCAATTATTCCACTAACTCCCAAGCATACTTTGACTATCCTTTTAAACTAAGTCCAATTAACTCAATACATAACCCTATAATATCTCCCGATGATGTTTTAGTTTACCTGAAGTCCTTAAAGCAGTCTTTTAGTTATGGTTCTGACCAGATCCCCACTTGTTTTCTTAGAAATTGTGCTGATTATCTCTATGAGCCGTTAACGGCCTTATTTAATTTGTCTCTTAAAGAGGGCGTTTTTCCAACTGTATGGAAGGAATCGTTCATAACCCCCTTACATAAAAGCGGTAGCAGGTCTTCAGTGGAGAACTACCGGGGCATAGCTAAGCTTTCTGCAATTCCTAAATAATTTGAAGCAATTATAACAAATCGGTTGACGCATTCTATCACTTCAAGCATTTCATACAGTCAACATGGATTTTGCAAGGGCAAATCAACTTCTACAAATTTACTTGAATTAACATCCTATATCTCAAAAGCATTTAGTGAGAGCAAAACTGTTGATGTTATATATACTGATTTCAGTAAAGCATTTGACAAAGTGTGCCACTCGTTGCTCATCTATAAACTTGATCTTCTTGGTCTTCCACCTAATTTTCTACGTTGGATCTCTTCATACCTCTATGATAGATCACAAAGGGTATTGTTTAAAAATACTATCTCTGACGTCATTGATGTTACTTCAGGAGTCCTTCAGGGTAGCCACCTAGGCCCGATTCTGTTCTTGCTTTTTATAAACGATATTTCTACAGATATAAAATTCTCCAAAATTTTAATGTATGCAGATGATGTAAAACTTTATAAATCGTACGTTTCAATTAAAGAAAGGTCTTTGCTACAATCAGACTTAAACAGCATGGCTTACTGGTGGTAAATGTAAAGTAATCTTCTCGCGAAGAGCTGTTCTGCCAGTTTCTTATATAATAGGTAACCATAAGCTGGAACAGGTATACAATTTTGTGGACCTTGGTATCACAATGGATCCTAAGCTTAATTTTAATCTTCACATTAATGTGACAGTCAACAAGGCTAAAGGTGTACTTGCATTTGTGAAACGATGGTCAAAAGAATTTAGTGACCCTTATATCACTAAAACCCTGTTTAGAACATTAGTTAGGCCGATTCTGGAATACGGCTCGGTGGTTTGGAATCCAAGGTATCAAATTTACTCAGACAAGATAGAATCAATTCAAAAACAATTCCTACTTTTTGCTTTAAGAAATTTCCGATGGGATTCTCAATATAGTCTTCCACCTTATACGAGTCGCTTAAAACTTATTAACCTTCCTACACTTGCCAGTCGCAGGGAAATGCTTGGTATAATTTGTATGGTTAAATTACTGACAGGCTCAATTTCAAGTCCGTCTCTTGTGGCTGATGTAAGCTTTAATGTTCTCTCCCGCGTATCAAGACACTTTTGTCCCATATTTCTGAAAGCTTGTAAAACCAATTTTGAATTGCACGACCCACTCCGTTGCTTATGCCAGGATTTTAACTCTCATTCCAGTACGCTTGATATATCAGATCCGCTTTTCAGCATTAAGAAAGCGATACTCTCCTCTCTCAATAAGTGAATTATTGACATAAATACATAAAATCAGCTGATGAATTTAGTTCTGTAGCTGAACAGTTTTAGATCTCGATACTTAACAAACTCCTGCCTATCGTGACTCGGCACAAAAATTTAAAAAATGGTTCCGTACGTCATGCGGACTGCGCCCCTCGTGCGGATGAGCGGGAATGGAGGGTAAAAACCGTTGGGATATTATTATTATTACATTGTTGTAATTTTACGTATTCAATGCATAAGTTAAGAAATGGAACTCAAAGTGTAAACATCTCGGGTCCCTTTGAAAGCTTACGCTTTCAAACATCTAAAAATAATGGGCATAACTTGACGATGGGGCATTTATATATTCCCTTAGCTGTCTTAACAGAGACTACGCGTACCAGCCCGTCCTTGCCTGGATGGGTATCAACGACTCGTCCGATGGACCATAGTGCTGGTGGAAGTTGATCATCCTTTATTATTACGATGTCGTTGCACTGCAAATTTTGTAGTTTTTGGGACCATTTTGGCCGTTGTTGTAATTGACCGATATATTCTATTGACCATCTATTCCAGAATTTTTGAACTAGGTATTGTAAATACTGCCAACGTTTCAAATAATTTACCCTTGTTATCGTATGGGGCTCATCGGGAATAGATGACATTGGCCGGAAAATTAGAAAATGGGCAGGGGTTAATGGGTCCTCATCACCTTCGAATTTTAAACATATTGGTCTTGAGTTCAAGCAACCTTCAATTTGACACAATATTGTGGTTATTTCTTCATACGTTGCGGAGTCGGCGGCCAATACTCGATTCAAGTTGAACTTCGTTGATTTGACTCCGGCCTCTCACATTCCACCAAAATGCGGGCCAGAGGGTGATGAGAAATGCCATTGGATGGTTTGGTCTGCCAATTCTGTCGTGATTTTCTCTTGTGTTGCTGATCTGTTCACAAATTGAATTACTTCGCGTAGCTGTTGATTGCATCCAACAAAATTGGTTCCATTGTCAGAATAAATAGGGCATGGTCTGCCCCGTCTCGTCACGAATCTTCGGAGAGAAGCAATAAAGGCCGCTGTGGAAAGTTCTGTAACCAATTCCAAGTGAATAGCCTTTGCGACTAAACACACAAATAATGCAATCCAAGATTTATAGCGCTTACTTCCACGACCTTTCCATGACCGCACTTGTATAGGGCCGGCAAAATCCACGCCGGTGTTGAGAAAGGCGGAGACAGTTTCAAGTCGATGGCGGGGAAGATCACCCATTTGTTGTTGGAAGGGCTTGCCACGAAATCGCATGCACCGAACGCATTTGTATACACAGCGTTTGACTAGATGAGTTATGTCGGGTATCCAATATTTCAATCCTAATAAATATTGAAGTTGACGGCTTCCAGCGTGCAAATATCGTATATGATATTCCCTCACAATGAGCTCAGTTAAGTAACTGTCCTTGTGTAAGATTAATGGGTGCTTCTGTTCATAACTAATGTCAGCGTTGTCAATTCGACCACCAACTCGTAATACGCCATACATGCCCACAAATGGCGCAAGTGATGCCAACTTGTGATTTGCTGAAAGCTCTTTTTCAGCCGATAAGGCTCGAATTTCAGCCGCGAAAAACTGCACTTGGACATTCTTGACTAACACGTTGTGGCCTGCCTGAGCTCGGTTACTGAAAGCAGCCCGGTTATCTTTTCGGACTTAGCCCTTTTGCAATTTTTTGTGAACCTCAGAATCCAAGTTGTGATCCTAAGCAATCGGTTATAGTCCGAAAATCGTTCGATGTAGTCGGCTTCGGGAACTGTAGTGATGTGAACAACATTCCTTCGCTCTTCCATGTCGACGTCGTTTGATGCCTCGAAGTTCTGATTTTCTGTTGATTCATTACAATCCTTCAAAATGTCTGGCCCATGCCACCACAACTTGTTGTTGTTGAGAGCTAGATCTGCAGGATTATGCTCTGAACGAATGTGTCGCCATTGTGTAGCGGGTATAATATTGTTGATGTATGATGTTCTGTTCGCGACAAATGATTTCCAGCGTCTCGGATGATCCGCAATCCAGGCCAACACTACAGTGGAATCCGACCAACCAAACATCCTATCATTCTCAATGTTGAATATATGCTGCAGCTTCACATCAGTTTCACCATAAGCTGTGCTGCGCACAACTCCAAACGTGGTAATGTGACCTGCTTAACGGGGGCTACTCTAGTCTTTGCAGCAATAAGATATGTATATATTATTCCATCTGGACGTCGCACCCACAAATAGATTGCAGCTGAATATGCCAACTCTGATGAGTCAGCGAATCCGTGAAGCTCGACGTGGTTGTCGTCTGACAATTGTAACCATCTTGGAATCTGCAAGTTGGTTATCTGGCACATACTATCACGTAACACCAGCCATTAGGTTAATAGATCTTCAAGCAATGGTTGATCCCAGTCAACACCTCTCAGCCACAGCCTTTGCATAAAAATTTTCATGCTAACGACAACTGGTGCCAACCAACCGATCGGATCGAAGATTTTGCATATATCAGACAAAACTGTATGTTTTGTAACGACATATGGCATGGCCCCCAGCGTCACACTAAATTTAAAACAATCCTTGGCTGTATTCCATAACAACCCCAAGGTTTCCACAGTTTGGGTATCATCGATTACGGTCTCTGTAGAGGACTCTCTGTCTTGTGTGGGAATGCTATCAATGAACTGTGGTGAATTCGACGACCATTTCCGCAAGTGAAATCCAGCACTGTCAAGAATTTTACACAAGTCGTTTTTTACACTACTTGCGCATGATATGAAATCATCTACGTAAAAACAGGTTTCGATAGCGTTTGAAACATCGGGATTCAGTTCAGCATTGTCAATCGCTACTTAACGCAGTGTTCTGGTAGCCAGGAAAGCCGCGCAGGCTGTTCCATACGTCACTGTCCTTAAATTGTATTCCTGGATTTGCTTACTTTCATCATCTCTCCATAAGATGCGTTGATACGAGCGGTCATCTGGATATATGAGCACCTGGCGATACATCTTTTCTATGTCCCCAATGAACCCGATTTTATACCTGCGAAATTGTATTAGGATTGTGAACAGATCCTTCTGTATTGTAGGACCTACTAGTAGTTGTTCATTGAGTGACGTTCCATTGTCTGTTTTACAGGACGCATCGAACACTACGCGTACCCTTGTTGTAGTGCTGCTAGGCTTAAACACTGCCTGGTGTGGCATGAAATATGTCTTGCTAGATGAGCAGCTCCTTGCTACTTCAATGTGCCCCAACTCGAAAAATTCTTGAATAAACTTGGTATACTCTCCTTTAAGCAACACATTTTTATAGAATTTGGCTTCCAAACCATGAAATCGTTTTAACGCCGCCTGCCTCGAGTCCCCCAAGTTAACCACTGTACTCTTAAATGGGAGTCTGACGATGTATCGTCCACTGGAATCCCTCTGAACGTGTTGTTGGAAGTGTATTTCTGCTTGCTCTTCCTCAGGTGTCAGGTGATTCATTGTTTCGTTACATTCCTCGATTTTCCAAAACTGCTGCAGTTGCTCACCCAAGTCGACTGTCATATGCGCTGCTACTATTTCAAGATTTCGCTGATCAGCAACGTTACCAATAATAACCCAGCCGAAAATTGTTTGTATTGCGCTTGGAGATCCACTTGGGTGTACAATCTTGTCTTGTAGTAAATATTCGCTAAATATATCTGCACCCAAGATAATGTCTATCCGTCCCGTTAAGTTGTATTGGGGATCAGCCAATTTCAGGTTGTTGAAATATTTAAGTTTTTCGTTGTTGATTGTGTGGCCAGGATGATTTTGTGTCAAGCGATCCACACATAAAGCCTCCGTTGTTACCATCTTCTCATAATACGTTGCCTTCAATTGTAGGT